ACTGAGGACTGAGGCAGGAGGATCACTGTGAGTTCCAGGCCAGCCTGGGCTGCATAGTGAGTTCCAGGTCAGTCTCAACTACATAGTGAGACCCTGCCTCAAAAAAAACCAAAAAAACAAAAAGTAAAAATAAAAAATAAAAAGAATTCATATATTAAGAATAAAAATCTCTGGAAAAATGTGGGCAGTATTCACAGAACTGAAACAAAAACAAGATCACTTAGAAACTACAAAACTGAGTTCATATTTTGCACAAGAGCTCAGAGATATTGCCAGGTGACACTTGTGAGTTAGGCACTAGAAGTAGAAAGTCTTGGTGTGGTGGCCACATTCTAGACCCTGGCTCCCAGTGTTCCAGGTCAGTATCCTGGTTTTGTGGGCACTGACCAGGCTTTGAGGGAACTGACTCACACCAAAGCTCACAGAGGCTCTTATGAGAGCTAGAATTAACTCCATTCTGCTAGTGTGTTCTGAGAAATGCGGTTACAATGGACAAGAGCAAGAACAAGAAGGAGGAAGAAAAGAATAGGGAAAGGAGAGAGGGAATGAAGTACAAGAGGGAAGAAAGGAAGGAGAAAAAAAGGAGGGAGGAAGGAAGGAAGGAAGGACGGACGGACGGAAGGAAGGAAGGACGGACGGAAGGAAGGAAGGAAAGCTATGCTACATGGTCAGGGCTGGTCTCTATGAAAGCAGAGTATCAACTCCTGGGCTGAAGGCAAAGCAAAGGGAAAAGAGATGTGGGGAGCGGACTTAACTGTGTTGAGGCCCAATGCTCTCCATATGAAAAAATATCTTCTCCATGACCTGAAATAGTTTCTGGCAGATTCCAGCGTTGCTTCACCTTGAAGACCCTACATAAACATATCCAAATTTCAGTGAGTTTCCTCTTTCACAGCTTGCAGCTGACCATGTCTTCTGGCTATTTGCTGTCCCACCAGAGCCATGCCAGAGTCCTTAGCGTCAACCCTTTGCGGGTCTCCCCACCCCACCCCACCTCTAGGTCACCTCGATGAGTCTAAAGCTTTCTAAATTACTCTGCTAGTATTCCCTGGGGTAATAGCTAAGGACGATTTCTTCCATTCATTCTGTAGGAAATTTATTCTGTAATTCTTAAGGGGTTACTTTTTTTCTAAATTATAGGGATTTAAGAGCGACCCCGCTCTCTGGTCTACAGAGTTTATTTCTTGGCTCAATCAATAAATTCCTGTTTACAGAGAAGAGACGCACTGGCCTTAAGCAGATGTTTTCCAGAGTTTAATTACACATTAACCATAATGGTTACAAGCACCAAAAGAGCCCATTGAAAAGCAAAGGTACTTAATGATATGGGCTTGGGGTAGAAGCAGGTGTTGGCTTGTGTTCACTAACTTGATCTAACTGTTCAATCGGAAGGAGGTACTAGCATCAGGCATAAACATTGCTTGTCATTAATAGTGAGAAATAGTGGTGTTTGGATGTAATTTTCCACATTCCTCTAGAAATGCAGATGTCCAAACTCCCCAGGCACATGTGTCTTTGACCCATTGTTTTAACAAGCTCAAGTAGATCAGCAAAGCGAAAACAAGTGGGAGCAGTTGCTTACTGGTCAGAGAAAATGGATATGGAGCCATTTTCCTTGTGCTAGGAATAGATTTGTCACATAAAACAGTTTGCCTAGTTAAATTTAAATTTCAGACAAGCACCAAATAATGCAACATTTGGGATATACTTAAAAAGCATTCGCCGTGTATCTGAAATTCAAATTTAGCCAGCTGCCCTCTGTTTTTATTTGCTACATCTGGTTGCCCTCTATAGGCATGAAACAGGAAAATGTAAACCCATCCTTCTCCGTGAGGCATGTTTCAAACATGCCTGCACAAATGCCCCATGACAGAAACAGGAGTCACACTGAGGCGGTGACTGGGAGTCAGAGTGAGGAGTGGCAGCTATGAGGGGCAGTGGGGAGAAGAACACTTCTCTGGCCCAGAAGGGAGTAGAAAGAGGAGCTGTGTTATTTACTAGGTCACCTTCCCAAAACCTCTGCTTCCGTGCTCTGAATGAGAAGCTGACTCGAAGAGGCGGTCAGCAGTGCAGGGAGCAAGATGTTTTCTCCACTCCTCTCTTCCTGGGATGTAAGATTGACCTTACAGAAGCTGGGGAAACAAGGTGGCAAAAATCAGCAACCTCTGGCCTTGAGATCCAGATAATTCAAGTAGGAAATGTCGGAGGGTTTTTCTCCCCAAAAAGTGTTAAGCCCTGTATCAGCGTATCCTTACCTGCAGGGGCTTCAAGGCTGTGCCATTTCACAGTCAGAAGACTCACAGCCCCACACAGCAACATGAGCTCCAGCTTTGCTCTGCCCTTGACCTCAAGTAGGAATGGGGCAATCTGATCACCTTCTCAGGCTCTCCATCTTCTCTCCTTTAAAGATTCATCACCAGAGACAGAGAGGAAGAGGAGGGCTGTTAGTCCCAGACTGTACTGGAAAAATACAATTTAATGAAAAAAATGATAAGACCTTCCAGCTCTAAACTTTGAGGAGTATAAGGCTACATTTTCCTACTAATTTAAGAAGGATCTTTTCCTGTTGATCACGACCTGCTGTCTGTAAGGGGACAGGATGTCCATTCTGTAATACTCTTCCTGCCAACTGTAGGAGCGAAGTATGTCAAGTCATGTACACATTCTCCCCAGACCTGCAGAGCTGATTAGTAAGGTGGGTAACTACAAATGATCTGTAGCCCCAGAAAAGAGATTTTTTTCCCCACCTAAATCTTATAGCTTCCCCAGGCACCAACCACGTGACCTGTGAATTGGAACTCTTCTCTAACTTATGTGCCATTTTCCTGTGCTAGGCTAAGCAAGCAGATCCCTGATTAAGTCCTCCTTTGGCTCCTCACTGTCCATCAGATAAAACTCAAACTGGTAGGCTGGGGCCCCGGGCCCATCTTGTGACACACTTCTGCACCCTGTCTGCCCCGGTATCTCCCTGGGACACAGTATCTCCCTTTGTAAATTGTTCCTTCCATCCAAAAAGCACCTATTACCTTCAGGAGCCAGCTCAGAGTGACCCCTTGGATGAGTCTTCCCAGAGACCCAGGTAGTCTACCCTGTCTCCTCCCACTTCACTGGGCTCCTTTTTCTCTAATGGCATGCTGTGATTTGGGAATGGTTTTAATGTGTCCCCTAAGGGCTGTGTTGGCAGCTTAGCCCTCAGTGTGACACAGTTAAGAAGTGTTGGGACCTGTAATAGCAGGCCTCATGGGAGAGTCCAAGACCAGCCCCTCCCCTTCATTCTGGCCTTCTCTCCTAGCATGTTTTCTCTGCCTCCCACACAAGCTCCTACAACGGAGGTTCCATTCCCATGAGGTGATGTGGCCAAGGAGACCCTCTCAGATTCAGTACTGTGCTGTTTTAACTTTCTGTCTCCTAACATATGAACTAAAATAACTCTTTTCTTTATAAGTACCTTACCTCTGATATTTCATTATAGTAGGAAAAAAGATTCATACATGGAACTTCTGACACTGCTTCATGAGTTGTTTACAGCCTTCTCTCCTGCTATTTCTGTGAAGCCCTCAAATGTTCTTCTATGCCATGTCTTATACATCTCTAAGTCCCCAGCACTTAGCACAAGGCTTGGCCAGAGTAGACGCTGTACTCTGTGTTGACTGCATTAGTGAATGAAGAAACTATATTTCACTCTTATCGTATTTTCACAGCCTGTTAATTACTGTGGAATGCAGCAGTTTATAATCTCTGAAGAGTCCTGCATACACCATTACTTACTAACCAGATGGGGCAAACTGGTTGCTGTGCAGTCAGTGCACAGGGCAAGTCACAGGCAGGGGACCTGCTTCCATTCTGGGTTCAATCCCGGAGTCTCTCCCTTAGAGACCTGGCTCCACGTCTGTCTGTCAAGCAAGGTACAGGGTGCTGGAGTCATCCTGCTGGAGGTAGAGAAAGGGACTGAGGCTCAGCCTGTACCCTCAGCTTGGAACACTCCCCTCTTCCCCACCACCACCGCTACCACTGCTGAGCCTGGCCAAAGATAGGAAGGAGCTGGCTGGCACTCTGTCCAGGTAACTGTCCCTGCCCCTTGGCCTTTTACCAGTTCCAAGAGGTGTCATTTCCCTAAAACCAGAGCTGCTTCATCAGAATGACTCATTAAAATATGAAAGTAATTAATTACCTTGCCCAGGATTGGGTCAAACAGGAGTCTCTGTGGTTGTCATTGCCTGTGGAATGTGGCTCAAACAGTTATAGAGAATAAGAGCCTGCTGAGGTAGAGGAAGATTTACTACAAATGGGGTGGTCAGTGACCCCCAAAACAACAGCCCAGATGGCCACAATGAACAACCAGGCCTGTTTTATCCTCCTGAGAGTCACATACTCAACACGCCCTTCACACACACACACACACACACACACACACACACACACACGAGCAGAATAACCCTGACCCGTACAACAGCCTTGTAACTCTGGCTTTATGGACCCTCCAGATCATTGTTACCAATTCCCACCTGCTACCATGGTCTCCATCCTTGGTGATATCTGCAGAATAAGTGACTCTGAAAACTCCCACTTTCTGGCCCATTTTCTTGAACACAGTGATTATGTGCTAGTAAAATGACCTAGATATGAAACAGGGTCCACCTAGATAGACACCATGAATTTCTCTAGTTCTTTTCTTCTCCACCTCCTGATCTATCTCCTTTTTAATCTAATAACAAAGAGTTTTTGCTTGACCAAAATTTTGTCTTGCTCTTAACCTTTCACCTAGGCCTATCTGTGCATGCCCACCCCAGATTTCCCTCCAGACCTTTCTCCACACTTTCAGTGAGAGGATGAACTTTAATGAGGACCAGGAGGTCCTTGGGTCAAATTTTACCTTAGACGGCTATGGGAGCTTACGTAAATTAGTTGTTTGGGACTGTTGCTTATATGGGGATAATATCACCTAGTAACCAGTCAGCCTAGTACCTGGGATACAATCAGCCTGAATTCCTTTTCATTTCCTCTGAGTAAGTCATCTGGCTGCTTTTTGTCTTTCTAATTTCCTAGAGTCTGTGGAAGGAAAGAGTATGGGTGAAGTGGGGGTGAGGTCCGAGCCTTTTATAGCTATTGAACATCTATCAACAAGAGGCATCCCATATTAAAACAATCTGCCTGAGAACCTAAGAGGTACTAGTATCCAACTTCCACCTTTAATAACTCTCTCCTTCCACAATTCCTTTCCCTGTCCCCTTCCTCATTCAACTACAACCAGAGGATGTGTGATACCAAACATTACTCAAGGAGAAGAATGACTAATTGAAAAAAATGACTCCATTTATGCAAAATCCATTGGGCCCATGCCAGGCATGGGACTTGACTCTGGGTCTCAGGAATGATGAGGCGTCCTGACCTGAATTTGCCATCTAGTGGCTTTGTGTGTAAATGGGTACTATCTGAAGGAGGCAAGGGTATGGGTGTAGACATGCAGGATTGTACCTAAATCATTACAATATAATGTGATCAACATGATTATAGAGACCAATCCAAAGTACCATGCTGACACACCCAAAACAAGGATAAGCAAAGAAGGGTGAGGTGGCAGAAGCTTCCCCAGAGGAGGAGCTGTAATTTATAGTGAATAACAATTCACCAGGTGGCCATGTGGTGAACAGATGATCCCAAGGTTGCCTGTGGGCTGAGTGCCCTTACAAGTGATCATGGGATGTGGGCTTCAATGCAGAGGGTCAGAGAGAGCTGGGGTGGAGTCCAAGAGAAGAGTGTGGTGAGGTGCAGGGCTCAGGGTACCAGGCACAGCATGGGCCGCCAACCCTGGTCCAGAGTCACCACTTAAGAGCAGTGAGACCTCAGCCACACACAACATTCATCTGAACTGTGGCAACTGGTTCAAAATGCATTCCGGAAATGTTCAGCAAATGAACAACTAGACAAATGAGTGGACATCTCCATCTATAACGTGGATGAGTAGAACTCCAACTGTCTCATGCAATTATGAGAAGGATGAACTGTGACAACAGAGACGTGAAATGTCTTATAAACTATAAAATGCTATGTTGAGATCACAGAGCAGCTGGTGATGGAGTGGTGATGCCGCCGACCTGCAGCAGCTTTAACTGAAGGCCATAAACAGGTCGTTTCTCTCTACTGGCATATTACCAGGACTAGTAGGACTATTGTTGGAGAAATATTTTACATCCTAAAGGGGAGCAAATACAGTAAGACTTTTAGGTAATAAGAATCTGCAGTAGACTGGGTGCAAAAATAGTCAAGGGGGGATAGGGGCGGAAGTATCCAACAACCATCCCATGTTGGCAGTAACATGAGAGACACTGATGGCAGAGTCCCACTCCTTATTTTAAAGGAGGAAAAATGGAAGCCCAGAGACAGTCCACTGTCACCATGTGCACCTGGATGAAGTTGTAATATGAACATTAGTAATCTTAATCTTACTATGGAAGGAGCCTCTACATTAGATCCTGTGAAATAAATACAATAATTATCTTCCCTGACAGATAAGAAAACAGAGCCTCAAATAGTAGTTTGTCAGGGGTCACTTGGTAAGTAAGGGTTTTGATTGGTGTTTTCCTACTGCCAGGGCAGCCAGAGTCCACAGTTAAAGAGTACTTTGAAAGAAGTAAATTGTTTAATTTATTTTGAGGAGAGGAGATTTAACTAAAATGAAGATGACTTCCATTGGACACAGGACCTAGAGAACCTACAACAATGTCTCTTTCCTGGAAGTGAAATGTGTAAGGGTTCTTTCAGTCCAAGCCCAGCCCTACAGATGGGAATGCTGCCGCTGAAGATGCCACTGTTCCTGAGCATCCTCACTCCCTCTCGCTCATTAGCTGACACCCTCAAGTCAAGGTTAATGCATGTCAGGATTGAGAGTTAATCATTGCACCATTACAGACATTGATTTCCCCCAGGAGGACCATTAGAGATGGGAGCTGGAGAGGAGAGAAAAAGGCTGAGGAGAGAAAGAGGCCATCTCACATCACCCAGGCTGGGCTTCCCACTGCTAGAACATACGCTCCAGGAAACCTCCTTGTCTCTTTGAGGTGATCTCCAAGCTAGATGTTTTGCCATAGTCTCTGTGTGCCTGCATTTCTCAGTTATCAAACCCCTACCCCCACCTGGCAGTCTTAGTGGTTTCTAAAAGAGCTTACAGAAAACCTTTCAGATGCACAATGTATTTAGTCCTCAGTCTGTGCCAAGCACTTGGATGCAAGGATAAGGGCAGGGACTGACCACAGTGACTAATCAATAACACATGGTATCTGACTTCAAGGAGCTTTTAATACTGGGAAAGAGAAACACATGCAACCAGCTCCAGCACTTGGTCACGATATGGAGGGCAAAGAGATTCATTTGAACTAGAACATTCTGGGAAGGAAGAAGTACTTGAAGTGTGTCTAGAGGCATGAATAAGCTTTCAAGCTTATTGAAATGGGAAAGGAAAGGGTATTCCAGGGGAAGGAAGCAGAAAAGTAAAACCAGAGCAAGGAAAGTACAGAGCATTTGTTATATCAGGATCTAGGGAGCAGCATATTGAAAGTGAGTTGTAGTGGGATAAAAGCTAGGGGAGACCATTGAGAAAGACCACGGAGGGCCAAAAATAAGATTAGATGGAATATTGAACTTATTAGAGGCAGTGGTGAGCAATTGGTGTCTTTTGAGGAAAAGAGTGACATGATCAGGCATGTATTTTAGAAAGGAGGCTGGGGAAAGTGTGCAACAGATGGGAGCAAATGGAGGCAAGAAGACCAAGGTGGAAGGCCTTTAGGGACATCAACAGGAAACAGTAAGGATATGCTGGTGAGTTCATAAAGGAGTTGATCTTCAAGAATGAGAAAGGCTTTCATCTATCCATCTGAGATCTCTAGTATCCCATATGCCTGAAGACAGGTCAAGCCAGGAGATTTCTGGTAAATGGTCTCACCTTGGCATTTCTGGTTTCACCTTTAAGTATCTCCTGAAGCAGGCTCCCCACTAGTCAGGGAAGATTGCAGGAAGGGCTGGCTGGGTTGTTCCTCTGGAGGCCTCTCAGGGTAAATAATAGGCCTCCCATCTTATACACACTATTATTCAAAGGGAGGACAGCCCCAGGAAACCAGGGTTACTTCTGCAGCCAAGAGATCAGGGAGACACAAAGATCTGAAAGGTGTTGGCAAAGGAGAGGTGGAGGTTGTTTACCATGATTCCCAAGGCTTGTTCAGGGTGGAGGCCACTTATTAAATGCCTTCCATGTGCCCTGTGATCCAGTGGATATTTTGCATATTGCTGATCCTTACAGTAACTGTGTGATGTAGGCATAACTAACCCCTTCTGTCAATGAAAAGACTGAAGTTTGGAGGTGCAAAGAAGTGACTTGATCAGGGTCACAAAATTTGGAATTGGGAAAGTCTAGGTTCAGGCCTCTATCAAAAGCCCACATTCCAATCTCTACACCAGAGGTTCTCATTTTTGGCACTGTTGACACTTCTGGCCAAATGGCTCTTTGTTTGGGGGGCTTTCTGTATACAGTAAGGTATTTAGCAGCATCTCCAGTCTCAGCCTTCCAGTTGCTGGTGGCACCCCACCCCCACCCCCCGCCGGGTTGGGACCACCAAAACATCTCCAGGCATTAATTGCTAGAGGTCTCTAGGGGGCAAAATCACTGCTTTCAACCCTGATTGAAAAACCACTGCTCCACCCTATCACCTTCCCCAAAGACTGGCATTTATGATTCTCATCCCCACTAATCCAAAATCCTTGCAAAATGACCCTCCTCTTCCTCTTTTGCCTATGAACCTACTACCTCATGCACCTACACATTTCAGGAGTTTTGTGAGGGGAGACTAGGGCTCTAGTCCTGGCCCTGCTGTGTGAACTATAGTCATCTGCCTCCCTGCGGGCCTTGACTAACAGTTCTTGACCAAGGATGCACCTG